AGCAAAGCACCATAACAGGTTCCATTGTCTATAAGCTAGGCGTGAAACCCTTCCTGTGGAGCCTCAGATCCAGTGAGAGTGTGGGCAAGGACTTCTGTAGCTAGCAGGCCACTGTTAAACTAATTTGAACAACTTGCCTGGTGGCTCTGTATTGTGAGATGAAGTATCCAGTGATAGTTAAGTTCATTGATTTATTTTATTCTCCTGTAGCCTGCAACATATTTCTATGCTTCAGATAACTAATCTGTAAAATGAGAGTAAGCACATTTATACCACAATACTATTCATTAATGGCTCACTGAGATAATTTTATAAAGTACTTAGCAAAGTATCCAACATTGCAAAGTTCTTAGTAGAACTATTATGAAAGTGTCAAAGTTGATAAATTGTTTTCAGTCAGCTTGTCGTGTTGCTATAAAAGAACAATAACATTGTCCAAAACTATCATATTACTTAATAAGGTACCTTCCTTATAATTTTAATTCAGGTAGTGATCAGTAAATAGTAGTAGGTGTGACTGTTGCAAAATCTATCAACATAGAAACTCAGGACAAATAATCTTCACACCTAAAGCAGCATGTGTTCTTGGGGACTGGGAATATAGCTCGGTTTGTAGAATGCTAATCTTATAGTCCCAAAATCTTGGGTTCCACCTCCAACATTACATAAAGGTGAACAAGGAGTGTACAGTTTTAATTTCAGCATGTAAGAGATGGAGAAAATAAGGCCAGAAGAAAACAGCCATCCTTACCTATAGAATGAGCTCAAGACCTGCATGAGCTAAATGAAACTGTGGCAAAAATTATTCAATTGTCTTAAATTATCAATGTACATAAAATACTGCCCTAGTACAAAGCCTCATCATCTTATCAGAACAAACATAAATTTTAAACAGAAAATATATTGGTCACAAAAACTACTTGCACTTTCTTCTCTTGATTTTTGTAAGTTAATTACTTCCATACATACTTGCTTGAATGTAGGATTAATTACTATATGTATTTCTAAGAGATTTTAAAAATACTGGTTTTTGTAAACAGTAGTTTCCTATAACGTAAAAAGATTGTTTTAGTCATTTTCTTATTTTGCTCTGAACAAGTAAATCAACAGACTTTGGTTTAATTGCCTTTTAAGCACTTTCAAAGCTATGAACCCCTGAGGTCGCAGAGAAATTATATCCTCCAGGGAATCAGAGCAGGAATAAATCGTCTGATCTGCCCTGTCTTCTGTTGGTTGTGTCCCTGAAAGTTGCAGGTAAGAGTTCTATTCTAGGTGATTGCAGTAGAATATTCATGGTGGTGTTATTTTATTTTTCCATGAAAGGCATAGAACTCTGCCAGCAGATGGTTTGATCAGTTCTTAGAAGCTCTTATTGAACATTTGTGTGTGGCGCCTATTACCTCGTAGGGTTATCCTCTGGTCTTAGGGTTATCCTCTGGTAAATGTATCCAAGCCTAAGAAAGCCACTGAGCTAACCAGCAACTGACACCTTGATAACATGATGGAAAAAAAAGTGGCTTTCTAATTAAGTAGTAGGACACACACACACACACACACACACACACACACACAGCAGTTAAACTATTGTTTGCTACTTAGCAAACCTCAGTTAGGTGATTTATGAAAGAACTTCCATTAATATTTAAAGTCATAGACTATGTATGAGTGCTCTGAGGAATAAATGAAATATTAGCTCTGCGTCACTAAGGGAAAGAAGTGCTTCTAAATGATTGACTATGTTTTTCTTAGGTGTCCTCTCCCTCCCCTCCTTCCACCCTCCACACATCCCCTTCCTTTCCCCTTCCCCTCTCCTCTTCTACTCAGAAAAGGGAAGCTTCCCTCCTCCCCTCCCTCTCCCTTTATTAACCTTCCCCAGCACATAAAGGACTGAGCATAGCTTCATCTCCTGAGGCCAGGCAAGGCAGCCCTGCCAGGGGGAAGTGATCCAAAAGCAGGCAATACATTCCATGTTAAAAAAAAAAACCCTCATCCCCTCGCCAGACACCCCATATGAAGACCAAGGCTCTCATCAGCTACATGTGTGCAGGGGACCTGGTTCCAGACTGTGCATGCTCCTTAGTTGATGTCTCATTCTCTGAAAGCTCCCATGTGACTGGGTTAGTTGTATCTGTTGGTCTTCTTGTAAGGTTCCTGTCCTCTCCTAGTCCCTCCATCTTTCTCCCAACACTTCTGCAGGACCCTCACAGTTGAACCACATGCTTGACTGCAAAATCCCAGCATCTGTCTCTATCTGTTTCTGGCTGGAGCCTCCCAGAAGACACTCAAGTTGGGCTCCTGTCTGAAAGCATAGCAGAGTATCATTATTAGTGTCAGGGGCTGGCTCTCTACTGTGGGGTAGATCTGAGGGTGGACCAATTATTGTTTGGACTATTCCTCAATCTTTGTTCCCTCATTATCCCTACACTTCTTTATAGGCAGGGTAACTTTTGGATCACAAGTTTTGTCGTTGGGTTGTTGATCCCCTTCTTCCACTAGTCCTGCCTGTCCAGGAGATGGTTACTTCAGTCTTCATGCCTGCCCCCATTAGGACTCACACCATATTCTCCCAGGAGCCTACCCTATAGCAGGCCTCCAGCTTGACCAGCAGATGTCCCTCCCCAGTTTCCCTTCTTGTTCCCAGCCCTCTCATCTCCCACCCCTGTTCTTCCCACATCTGTTTTTCACCCTTGTTTCCCTCCCCATTCGATCTTCTTCCCAGTTCTCTCTCTTCATCCACTTCTGCTGTCTGTTCTATTTCCACTTCTGAGTGACATTCCTTCACCTTCCCTTAAGTCCTCTTTGTTACTTAGCTTCTTTGTGTCTGTGGATTGTAGTATGATTATCTTGTGCTATGGGTTTAATATCCACTTATAAGTGAGTACATACCATGTGTGGGTTTTTTTGTGCCTGGGTTACCTCACTTAGGATGATCTTTGCTAGTTCCATCCCTTTGCCTGCTAATTTCATGAATTCTTTGTTTTTAATTGCTCAGTGGTATTCCATTGTGTAAATGTAGCACAATTTCTGTATGCATTTTTCTGTTGAGGGACATCTAGGTTGTTTCCAGTTTCAGCTATTGTGAATAAAGCCACAGTGAACATAATTGAGCAAATGTGCTTGTTGTATGGTGGAACATCTTTTGAGTATATGCCCAGGAGTGGAATAACTGGATCTTGAGGCAGAACTATTCCCAATTTTCTGATAAAGCACCATGTAGATTTCCAGAGAGGTTGAATAACAACTATGAAGCCTATCATGAGAAGCAAAGGAAATTAGAGTCAGAAGATACTAGGATTCAGATTGAATCCAGTAGTTTTCAGTGTTCTTTTTCAACAAAAAATCTTTGTATAGTAATAGCTTGTGCTAAAACTGTTTTACTTTCTATGAATCACCCATAACTTCATAGCAAAAGTCAACATGATACACACATTACATTTTATAATGAAGAGGAGAAATGTTAAATTAATGGGATATGTGATAATAGATAATTGTTAGTGGTCTGGGGATAACAGGTTAAAAAGGGACTGACAAAGGTTGGGGAGTAGAATGCATTGGGTTGCTCGGACACACATTTTAAAACATCATTTTAAAAGTCATTAAAAACTGAGATTATGAAATTTAGACCTGTAAAGATACAAGAAGAACAAGCATTGTAACTATAGGATGAACTAGGAATTTATTGAGCACATCCTATTCAAGGACAGAAAGGGAGTAATGGCAAGAATGGAAAGAAGTATAGAGGTTCTGACTAGAGAGATAATCAAATCAAGGCCGGGCATAAACATGGGGCCTCTTAACATCTGTAATGATCATGGACATTTCCAATAGTTGAAGAATAACTTAAGTGCTTAGAACAAAAGAATACCATGTTAAACTGAAATTTACACATGACCACTCTGGATGCCCCACTCATTCAAGTAGGGAGAAGACAGAGGTAGGAGATAGCAAGACTACCACAATAGTACAAGTTTTAAAGGATACAGTGACTCCATAAAGGAGACAAAAGTTGGAGCAGTGGAAAACTGTCCTGGAACCATTTTAGTAAATAATCAGAGACACCATGAAGCTAGAGCTCAGTAGAGAATGTGACTGAATGAACTTCTACAGCAGGGAATAATGCTTCTGCTCTAAGTGTAGAATTAAGAACAATGAACAGGACTATATATTTCATCTGATTCTCAAAGGACCTCCTATTACTGGTAATAAGTAGACATTTGAACCCAAGTACCGAAAGTATATGGAAAAAGAAACACAGTCAAGAAAGACAGCATTAAAAACCATTCACGTGTCGAGCATTTAATGTCATCACAGTGTATACATCAAGGACTGATAGGGATGTGAAGGAAAATAGTACCAAAAATTGATTCATGAGGCCTTCCAAAATTCAAAACCTGACATAATGATAATGAGAGATGCAGTAAAAGAAGCATAACAAGAACTCAGGCAGCTATGAGAACCTGGTGAACTGCCAGTGTGGTGTCCAGCACTATGCCAGATACTGCAAAGATCAAGTCAGATGAGACCCACGTTTAATTATATCTTTATCAGTGTGAGGCCACTGAATTTGTCATGGAGTGAGAGTCTGACAGCTCTCATGCTGCATCATATGTCTTTGTGTATTTTACTCAGAAATAAGTCTGGTTATTAAGACTGATATCTAATAATATGAATATGAATTAAATATTAGCTATTTCTGTAGTTTTGAAGATAATGATCAAACACATGAAAAACATTTGCCAGAAGTCTATTTGCTTCTGAGGTTTCCTTGATTACCAGGAGGAACAGTCTAATTTGCCCATTTGTAGTCTTTCTTTCTTTCTTTCTTTCTTTCTTTCTTTCTTTCTTTCTTTCTTTCTTTCTTTCTTTCTTTCTTTCTTTCTT